ACTGGCTGGGCATCGGTTGGTGGGTGGTGAGCAACTGCATTGTGCATCACTTATTCTATATATTCTTTTATCATTATTATTATTATTATTTTCCCTTCCTTTTCTGTCCTATTAAACTGTCTTTATCTCAACCCACAAATTTTACTTTTTTTTTTTTTCTCTCCAATTCTCTCCCCCATCCCCCTGGGAGTGTGGGGGGAGTGAGCAAACGGTTGTATGGTGTTTAGCTGCCTGCTGGGTTAAACCACAACAGCAAAGCACAAACTGTGAGTATCCTGGCTACAGAGGTAACTATTCTGTGCTGGAAGACGTCACTGGGCCTGTTCCACAGCCCTGTCCTTCTGTAAGTCCACCACCAATACCGGACTCTTGCTTTTGTCTCTTTGAACAATAGTGTGTCAATGCAACCTTTGAGCACAAAACAATTATTCAGGAATGAGAGTTTGTGCCTGGACCTAAGCCAAAGTAGTAGGCAGACTTGAGGAAATGCCTCTTCTGGGCAAAGGCTGTGTTAGCAAGTGCAGGAAGCTTTAGGCAGCCAAAAGAGGTCTAAATGACTGCTCTCTTTACTTTCTTTCAGCTTCAAGAAGCAAGAACAGCGGTTCCACTGCCCTCGCCTCTGCCGTTCTTCCTAGTGTAGTTGGAGTTTTCTTTTGCTTGTCCCACAATGACTGATTCTCTGGCTGCATCTAGATATACACACTCGAATAGCAGGCAAGAAGAATTCACAGGAAATCAGTCTCTGGAGTTCCTGTTGTTACAGAAGGTTCAAGCCTCCCTTTGTTTTCAGCTGCAGCTCTCCAGCTGAGACTGGAACATTCAGCCTGGTTCATCAAAACAGACATTCCCTAGACCCATTCAGGTAGGAGGGCAGTTACCTATGGCCTTTCTGAAGAGTAGGGCAGTGACACCCTTTGCTGTAGGTAGCTTTTCCCTTAGGCATTCAGGAAAGACACACATGGACTTTGGACTTTACAGATCTCTTAGTACTTTTATTTTTAGTGAGAAAGAGTCTGTCTGTGGGATGCAAAAAGCACCATGGTGGTAAAGTCAAGTGGGTAACTGTGCAGCTTTGCATATCTCCTTTGAGTGCAGGGTCCCAGGGGACAGTAAAGTCTCTGGCTGCTGCATAGCTGTCTTTCCCTGCTGCATGACCCCATGCACCAAAGCCATAGCTCTCATCTCAAGCTGACTGTCTGCATCTCACACATGGGGGACAGAAGCATAAAGCTGCCTTGAGACATGAACTTAGCAGCAGAGGATCACGAAACTTGTCTGGCCTGTCTTCAGCTTTCATTTTGGACTTTAGCATTTCTTCTGAAAAACTCAGGCAGATCCTGTGTTCATAACAGTCCTCTAGTGGCTGATGAATATATACTGGCCATTTCACACTGAAATGAAAGAGAGCCTGTGGAGCCCACTGCTGTCTTCATGGGTGTTTGATGTGACTGAAATTCATTTACCTGCCTTTCTACTGTGCTGGTCTGCAATGTCTAATGCTGGAGGTTGAATCAACATCACAAATTGGAACTGGAACTTCTGATTTAGCTATAGACTCCTCTCACTTTTATGCGTTCATTTAGCACTTCTGGAGCCTTAGACACCCAAGCCAGAACAGCTATGAAGTTCTCCCATCTCCAAAAAATAACAGTGTGGAAATGATAAGAAACATATTCTGCCTGCAATTCCCCTTTCCAACATGCCTTGCTTGCTTCTTCAACCCTGGTCCCTCACCCCCACTGATGCTAGCCCTGTGCTGAGGCTACTGTCAGAGAGGTTATCTCACTGGTCCAAGGAGACTAGTCATGGTGATTTAACTTTGCAGTGGCATCATCAAATAATTGAACTGAAACTCACTGACACATTTCACAAATGACCCAAGCTTTCAGTCACTGCTGATCTTGGCAGGAAGCTGGAGTTCTGTATTCACCATCCCCTGTCCAAAACAGTAAGCAACAAGTTAGCCGTCCAAACGACATCTCAATATAAGAGGACTGCACAGGCTGCTGATCAGCTGGTTAGTCAAAAGTAAGGACAGCCAAAAGCACCTGTGTGAACTGCTCGTCTCTTGGAGCAGCTCCATATAAGCTTGGTGCTGCCATTCCATTGGAAATCCCATGGCAAGGAACGCAGAACTTAGGCACATGAGAAATATTAGCATTAGAAATGTAGGCACTTAAGGAATTTGGATGTCTTCAGGTTTTAGCAGATTAAATGGAGGAGTGTGAGGCTCAGCATCTTGTGTATCTTGTACAGGTTTAGGTGTCTGTAATGGCAAAAGCCATCATCTAATCATCTAACATGTAGTAATGTGTTCTGTGAAACTGAACTACTGCCCCTGAAATCCTGAGACATGCTTGTCCACGCAGCTAAACCAGATTTAATACAGAACTGTTTTACTATTAGCTTGTTTTCTATCTATATTTCATGTTACTTTCTTGTTGTTCTTGATTTACCAGTGATTTCAAATAATATGTTGCCAGAACTTGATTTTGACCTCTAAATGCTCAAAGATACTAAGCCCAGATTTCAAAAAAGAATGAAAAGATTAGAAGCAGCTGCTGCAGATACCTCTTGTATGTGTGTTCAAACATGCTTAAACTCTTTCCTATGTGAGAATTACAGGAATCAAGATGGATTTCTGACACATCAGCACATTTATGCCTCTCGCTGCTTATCTGTTATCGCTGGGATGCAGGCTTCAACCATTTTCACAAAGGTTTGGAATCCTTCACAAGGTGGCTTGAGCACCCTGAAAGCCTCCTCTAAGTAGTCAGCTGCTATTTTCAAGCTTTTCTTTATGGATCTGTGTCCTCGAAGGATAGCCTGTAGGAAAACAAGAAGTGAAGAGGAGGAGGGTAGAGAGCGAAGCCTGAGCTGTTGCGACATTCCACTTGAGGAGCTGCCTTCTGTGGTACTTGGTGTCTCATTTTGTTGCAGCATCTTCACAATATCAGCATAGTCCATGAGAAGTTCTGATACTTGGAGGGATAAGGCAGGTGAACTCAGTAACTGATGAATAGCAGCCTCTACTGTGTCAGGGAAATTGTCATGTTTCAACATCACTGCAACAAGTACACCCATGATGCTTTCTACAACCCCCTTGTAATTCTCATAAAGTTCCTTTACTGCAGCAATCTTTTCCTGCAAGGAGGTGATGGGACCAGCAATCTTAGCGTACAAACTGTGGCTGATGCTTTCCTGTACATCTTTGTCTCTTGTTTCCACAGTGGCTTGCATCTTTTTCAAAGCACTGACCAGGAGCTGCAGATTCTCTTTAATGCTGAAGTTTTCTTTTACTGACATGATGGGGAAGTTGGTGCCAAGATGCTCATTGAGGAGTCGGAATATTGTGTTGGTTGAAGAGACATAGATGTACACTAAGTCATGCAGATTCTGGCAGGCCCTGACCAGCCTTTCTTTATCACTCTTAAAACCGAGGCGGGCTAACATTTCTGGAGTGGTGTCTGACTCTGAAAAGCAAACAGAGGAAATCCAGAAGACACAGGGGAATAAAACTGGGTATATTTTCAGCTAGAATGTTACATTTCTGAAACCAATATTACAAATTATCAACCCACCTGACCTGCCCTCCCCCAAGACATTACAATTAGAAGAAAACACAGAAAAAGCTCTTTGTCAGCCTTTGCAGTGGTCTTACCAAGCAGGCCAGCAAAATATGGTGTAAACAGCTGCAAGTATTGTTACTCTTAGGGCTGCAGGAAGTATGACTCTGACCTTCAGCATGCAATCTGAAAAGCAATGGAAGTGCTGTAAGTGAATTATTCTTGCCTTTTGGTGTTTATTGGTAAATTTATGGGAGTCCTAGCAAACAATCTACTTTATATCATCCTTAGAACTTATATTCCTATATTCCTTCAGTTTGTATATACTGATGGGTCTATACAGAATTAAACTCATATTCTGGGGAGGGGGGAATAGGCACAGCAAAGTCAAATGCATCAGACATCTACATTCAAGAGGCAAAGCAATTGCAGGCTGAGTAATGAAATGTTTTGTCAGGCTACAGTTTCCAGTGAAATGACCCATATCTGTCAGTTCATATGGTGGCTAGATGTTGCAAGCATCCCTTGATAGGTGGAAGCACAAAACATTCTCCTTGCTTGGGCTCCTGTCTTGCTACCATTTTGACTATTAAGGAAGTTATGCCCTGCTTGCACCTAAGAGTTCTCCCAAGGCCAACTGCAGGCACAGTCCTGGGACAGCACATGGCTGAGGGACTGCTCCTGATTTTGCCTTTGCTTGTGCCAGAGCCCTCGAAAGCCAGACTGGTTGCAGCAGACATGTTTCATCAGCTATTGCTGTGGTTAGATGTGCGGTTAGATGTGCAGTTAGATGTGTCCAAGCAGTTGCAACTTCCCATCCCACTGCATACTTTTTAAGACTTTTCTCTCACTGCTCAGCTCAACCCTCTGCCTCTTCTTCCTTTCCCTTCCCATGGCAAAAGTGATCTGAAATTGTGTGAAATGGCAAAATTGATTTTAGCCTCCATTGCTGTTCAGCCAGAGCTGGCTCTTGGGCTCCACACCACTTCTTCCACTCTCATGGCATCAGAGGAGAGGACCTGGGAAATTGCAGCAAAGAAGGGTGACAGACACTCCAGATGAAGTCCTTCCCCCAAACTTACTAGGTCTGAAACAATAGCTATTAATCTTCCCTCAAGACCTGAAGTAAAGCAGGAACAAAACTGCTTGCTTATTCTTTAAATGATTTTCTGTCATGTTCCAAATGATAGAGTAGGGACTCTAGAAGAGAAGAATTTGCATCCGCTGTAAACCTTGACCTGAAAGCAGCTTCCAGACTACAGAATGTGACACAGAGGCAGTTGCCAGCCTGATGAATTCAATTCAGTCCAATATTGGAAGTAGTATTTCAGGACTACATGGCATTCTCAGTTAATAAGAGGAGTCACAACTACTTGAGCATTGCAGAAATGTAATAGTTAAATCATTAGTGTTCTCTCTCAGCTCATCTTCTCATGCCTACAGCTCTGAAAACAAGGGGAGTTTGGTACTCTGGCTCTGGGTTGAATAGAATAGCTCAGCTTTCAGGGGAAAACAAGCTGGCAATTGCAGAGTACTCATTTTATGCTTAGTCTTTTACTTTTTCTATATGTGTGGGACTGTTCAACTTTTATTCCACAATTCTTAGGTGTACAAAACCAGTCATGGCAACAATTCATTATTTCAAGGAATAGCTGCAAGCATTAGTGTTTATTGTTTATACTTATGAACAATAGAAATTTATAAATCCCACTACAAAAACTAATCCTGTATCTGTGTGAATGAAAAGTGCTGTCCTACATGTTTTACATTCTGAGAACAGCAAGTAACACCATCCCCTTTCAGCCATGGCTGTAGGTACCTGTGATGGTACCTTTGTTGTAGGCAGAGGGATTCATGCTGTACATATTCTCTCCAGGAACAGAAGGCTTTTGGAGGACCTAACAGTTGGGAACTAGCATGAAATAAACTGAAATGTGTTAAAATTGGAAGGAAGGGGAAAGGAGGAAGAAAATGAAACAAATCTAGGTAAACATCACATAATAGAATTAATGACAAGCAGGCAGGCAACAGGACCCAGCTGAAGTCCAGGCTCTGGATCACTAACTCATCACATGCTGCTGGAAATCACCAGAGGAACACAGGGGAAAGAGGATGAAGTCACTGTCCCATACACATTCAACTGATTGCAAGAGCACTCAGACAAAATCAGGTAGGCAGTCTAAATGTTTAATTAGAAAAGCTTCTGGAGAAAATCTCCCTGGAGCTGGAGAAATAGTCAGAAATATGGAAATACATGTGGCCTGCCTAACTCTAAAAAGCCAATGTAAAAACTAGCAAAAGTGTTAATGTGAAGAGGTAATTTTAGCATTAAGAGACAAAATCTAGAGCAGTTATTGGAAGCTGAAATAATCATGCATAAAGAATAGATGCTAGAAGTCTCCTCCACACCTGTCTAGTACGTAAAATGTTTGTTGAAGTGCTATTCCTCTTAGAACATTTTGTCTTCTGGGTTTCTAAAAATAAGGAAAAATCAAATGACCTTTCAACAAAACATCACTGGAGTGGAAAGGATCTAGTATCACACTGAGTCAGAGAGCAAGCCAGCAACATCACTGAGGCAGGACTGATATGAATTCATACCTTGTATTGACATGGCTTTATGTTTCCTGAAAATCACAAACCTTTACTGTATATGTACTTTGCTCCCTCCAGCTTGAAGAAAAAGGAAGATGTGTTAAAGAGTTTATTCTCTTGACGGAGCTACAAGGTAGGTGGCTAGAAGAAATGTATAGTACTGTGCAAAATATTGTGGAAAAAATTCTCTTCAGACTGGCTTGTATTTCAACACTGACTATAAGTTGGCTAGGGGACTGTTGAAATCATTCTGGTTTTCTACAGTGACCTTGTGGGGGAGGGTGTGTTTAGTAAAATACAGCTGGGTCAGTGTCAGATGATTTGCAGTTAGCAGATAATGCAAGAACTACAAAGGACCAAAGTGACACAAAGGTATCTTTTTAAGAAGAAAAATCTAGCTAGTCCCCTACACGTAACTTTGTAGCTATAACTGTGCTATATAGGCACCAACAGCAAGAGGAGGAAAAACCTTGGAAAAATGCGAAGCGCTGCATAAAAGTGGCCCAGATTTGCAATAAGAGGGCTGAGAATGCACAAGTACCAACAAAGAAAGGAGTCATCCTACTCATTCATAAGTTTGCCCCTGTTGCAAAGTAAGACATAGGCATTTAAGTCAAAATCATGCTAAAGCATTTTTATTTTTCAGCTGGTGATGGGTTAAAGAGAAGTGGCACAGAGTTGATTACAGAAGCTTAGTGATGAGGAGTAACTCTGTGATCACTGGTCACTCAGTCACTTTGGACTCTGTATATTGACATGCAGGTAATAAAGAAAAGTGCATTAAATATGCCCTTTTGCTGGCAAACCAGCGACAGCTCAGGAAAGAACAGTGACCATAAGGATTAGATACAAGTGTTTTGGGGGGGAGGAATCAAAGAAGTTAAATTTTGTGCTCTGGTCTGTACAGTGATAAGGGAGAGCCAGATTCTGCTCAGTCATGTCCTAGGAGCTTGGTGAGCACCTGCTGATATTAGCTCCAGACAGGAGACCCTGGATATGGAGGGAGTGTGGCTGCACAAGCAGGGCTCTCCCTGCGTGCTGCTCCAAGGCAGTCTGCCATCACAGACATCCTGCTGGAGCAGGTGCACCTCACAGTGCTTACACAGCATCCTGAACATCACGGGGCTGTCTGCAGCTGTTTGATGTTCACGAGGGAAAAAACAATGGGGAATCGATTACAGCACTAGGGAGGTGAATAAACAATGAGGGAGCGGGGGCTAAATATCAGGGAAGAAAACAGAGTGGGAGATGTATGTAAGGTGATACAGGTCAGGATGGGTTTATTATAGATAATTTTACTATTCTCTATGAATTCCCAAGTGTGAGCTTATTAGTATAAGCACAGAGTGCCTATATAGTAACATTTGCTCTTGAACGTGAGGAGAAATAAGCTACACTGGCATAAAACACTCTTATGGTAATACAGACTGTGCCCACTCCAGCAGCCATCATAGTTGTTTAAAAATCAGATGTTACTAACTGAAAAAAATAGGCTGATACAAAAGTGTGTCTAGAACAGGCCTTTCATTTCCACAGCTTATTTTAGATTTTGCTGATTAGATGAGATTGTTCCATTTTTTAGTGAACTAGTTCAGCTTCTACCATCTTCAGTTTCCAAGGTGAAGAATGACCCATGTTCATTTTACCAATCTTCTAACTACATATTTGTTAGCTATTTTTGTTGCTCTGAGTATGTCCAATGTCTCATAAGGTCCTTTTCCAATCATTTGGCTAAAGATCCCAAACAGGCATTAAGTTTTCTGTATTTATGAGCTATGCCTTGGGATTTGACTCGCTGAGTATAAAAAGAACCAGTGAGGCAGAGAAAAAGGACATTTCACTGCTCTTTAGGGGCTAGGGTTACGGGTGTTGAACAGAGTAAGAGATTTCTTTTCTCTCTTGAAGTAGCCTATTTCTGAAGAATGGCGCTGAGTGACCTCCTTTACCCAGATAACCCCAAGAGAAGGCAAGAATTGATCCATCTGCACCAGGAATTGCTCAACTGCATGTCCACAAATTTCCGTGCAACAAATGAGCTGGCTGGAGTGCTGAATGAACACCTGGGCTGTACGATTACACACATTCGGATGAGAGAGAGCAGCACTGTCAAGGAAAACTGTGACATTATCATTCAAGCGATGAGTGAGATTCAGCATCAGGTACAGAAGATTGATAGTGACATGAAAGAAAAGCTAGAGCCTGTGCTGTACCAGAAGCTGTATGACATCAAAGAGCCCGAGTTGGAGAAAATTGCAATAGCCCATAAAGTTTTTTCCATTGTTCTTGGAGAAGCGACTTCAACAGCTGGGATGGTAGCTATCAAACTTCTTGGCTCCAATCTTATAACTCTCACTGTGAGCAAGCTTGTCAGTCTCCTTGCGCAGATTGGGGCATCTGTTCTTGGGGGAATCAGCATCACCATTCTTGGGCTCGGCATTGAAATGATCCTCCATGCCATCCTGGGAGCCATGGAGAGGAATCAGCTTCTGGCAGCTGTGAGAAGCTATGAGAAGCACCTGGCTGAGTTTAAAGCAGCCTCGGAAAAGTACCAGCGCGCCATACGTGAAGTGACTTCTTTGGTGAGACAGCAGGTTCAGTGAACGAAGTCAGAGTTCTCTCTCCTGCTGTGACGGTGGCTGCAGCAGCTACGCCTGCAGAAACCTTTTTGATTCTTTATGGTAAATGAACTACTGATGGCTTTTTTTCTTATTAGTGGCAGCAGAGCAAGAGATGTGACAGATCAGGGATTTGGCACTGAACTATATTAATAGGGAACTGGCTCCCTCCTGGGAGGCAACGCTTCAAATACTTCGCACCTTTCCTTCAGCTATTTTCTGGAATGCATTGTAGATAACCTTGAACTGTAATTCGTACTAGTGACAATAATATTCACTGCTGGAGCAGTAGTGGTGAGAAGGTGTGATTCTTCTCTTACTGTGTTTCTATATCAAAGATGACAACATGACGGGAGAAAACAACTTCAACAAGCCAGTCCATGTCATCATCTGGAGGCCTCATCAGGACAAGCTGTGGTTGCTAAACTCTTAGCGTGGATTAGTGCTAAATCTGATAGGCTGAATTCCCTGTTCATTGAACTGCTTACATGGACTAGCTGAAGCATATTTAACTGCTATTTCCTGTCCCATCCCTGCCTAAGGTGCCAGCCGGAGATCTTCTTTAAATAAACTCTAGTCCCAGTAGATTAGCAGGTAAGAGAAGCATGGGCCTACAGGCAAACACACACAACCTTGCCCCAGCCAGCTGTAGTGTTCCAGGCACGCCTGGCTGTGAATAACCTCTTACGCTGAGTAATGCTCCGCTCCTGCCAACCCACAGGTAAATATTTCTGTGCACAGTTGCTGCTCTGTTGATTGAAATGGGATTATACACACATACAAGTTTCTGTAGGATTACAGCCCTTTAATGCACTAAATTTATTTTCACATGCTTTACCCAGTCCCACCAATGTGGGACTGCCAAGAGTGTGCTCAGACTCTACATTTCACAATATGCTACCAAATGTCCTTATTTTTCAGATTTTAAAAACAAAGCTGGAAGCAAGAACATGATTTGCAGTCTCTTGCTCTGATTTGCTGTGGTTTGCTTTTTTTGCTTTGATCTTTGGAAAAAAAAAAAGGTGATTTAAGAATTAATAAAAATGTACCTGAATATTGTAAGATGACTCTTTCCTGTACTTGCTTTGGTTTTTTTTTTGTTCTGTCTGAAAAACCAATCTTAAACCAAATCATGAAAAGATATTAAAATCTTCATTATAGATGCAATTTATAAATTCTTTTTTATATCCACGATAGACTAATCTAGTAGGATTGTGTATAGGTTCCTTTTTTAGTACCAGCTTCCCCCATACTAAAAGCATACTCGAATTCATAGTTGTTTATTAATATTTAATATTAGCAATATTAGATGATTATATTAATAACCAGATCATGCCTGTGAAAGTAAAGAGATGGGTGAGATTACAACAGGGAAGCTCTCCATTGGCTTCATGACCCTTCCATTCTGGGTTTTGGGGGGGTTTTTTGTTGTTTCCCCCCCCCCACTTTTCCCACTTTTAATAATTTTTTCTGACTCCTCTTTGCTTTTGTGTTCAAAAGCCACTAGATGGCAACGCAGGTGCTGGCTCTCAAGCAGCTCTGACAGCCATCAGGGAGAAAGCCCAGGGTTCAGGAGCATGGATGGGTGCCAGGGACTGACAAACTGGGACCAGCACAAGCCCCAGACTGGGCGATGTGGGTCAGGAGAGGCAATTCAGAACAGGCAAAAAGCACTGCTTTGTCTCACACGAGATATTGTGGTGGGTGACATGGTGACCCGAAGCATCATTTCTCCAGGATGTGACATCTCCCATCTCCTGACACAAGTAACACTCAGTTTAGAGGTACTTGTTTAGAGGCAAGAGACTGTCAATCATCAGGACAGCAATATTTGAGTGCTGGAGAGGCAGGAGTTCCTGGCTCCTGATGACTTTCTATGTGCAAATGTACATTCTAATTTAGGAAGAAAACCCACTAGCTCAGTACATATCTTTGTGAGAGTGCCAATCACTGCTGTATGAGAATAGTGGAGTCAAATAAAAACAAATCTGCTGTACTTTTCAGGCAGCTTGTCCACATTTTCTTGAAAGCAAATTCTAAGCAGTGTCAGGGGAAGTGGGATACGCAATGAGGAACGCAAAGATACACGATTTCTATTCACCTCTTGATAGATCCTTGTTCCTGGTGGGCTTACAGGAAAGCTGGCTTGCCTGCAGCAGCAGGTGTGGAAGGTGTCCTCATGCCCATGAGATGTTGGAAGATGTTGAAGTTGTTGGAGGCTGGCAGGCAGCAGCCTGTCCCTCTGCTTGTGATGTAGGAGACTGTGAGCTCACAGAGGCCAGGCCAGCATCCCCAGCCAGCTAGGAGGGCCGCCCATGACCTCATAGAGGGGGATGGCAACATCCAGCCGTAACAAGGCGGTTTGGAGGTAAAAAACCTGCCGATCAGCTTGGGACCTTCCCAAACTCTTTCCCCCAAGTCTAGCAATAAGAAAATCAATGGGATTTACTTGCATTACTGACAGTTACATACTTGAACTGAGTGCAGCATGCGTTTAACCGGCTAGATGCAAGGGAGGGTACCCAGTGGAGCAGAAACAGCTTAGCTGTCTGTTTCTGCTTGGTAACTGAAACTCTGTCCCGCAGAATAGGAAATAATTTCCTGCTCTCTGTAGCCCTCTGACCTGTATTACACTTGGTCCCCCAAAGATGTCATAAACACTCTGGGGTTAACCAGTCTGCTGATGCTTCTCCTCTAGACTCCCTGGAGCTGCCTTGTGGCATGACAGAAGTGAAAAATGTGAGAGAACTATTGTCCTCCAAGTCAGCAGACACTGCTGGGAGAAAGCAGTTAGGGCTGTGGCAGTACCACCGTCCCCATTGAGTCCAGTATTGTCATGACAGAAGACCCCAAGCCCTGTGAGGAGCGGCCAATCTTCAAAGCCTCAGCTGTCCCCCTCTCCAGTGACATGGTACATGACAAGGATGTGCGCGGCCAGTGTTCCCATCACCCCCTCTCAAGCATTCTTCCTCTACTCAGTCTGTTGTTCTGGACAAAGGATTAAGAATTAAAACTGTATAATATGCGTGTTCCAAATAAGAACAGCCCCAAAGAAGAAAAGAAACTATAAACCAGCCAAAACGAGTCTAAGCTGCTTTCAAACCTGTGTAGAAACACTGAATGGTTGCCACCAACATCTGTCCTGCAGCAAATTCTTTCTGGTAACAAGATCAATGTAAAAGAACAGGCCAAAGAGGTGCAAGGTGGGGATGACCCTGCTGTGTACATAGTGAGCAAGACTCCCGAGGCACTGAGAGCTCCTGAAGCTCTGAGGATGCTCCTGGGCTGGCCATCTGCTAACTTGGGTTTTGTGCAGTTTGTGACTAATGGTGGTGTTAATGAGATGCGTACCTTATAGTCTTGCTTTTGCCCACCCTACCATGATCCTTCATAAAGTTCCAAGTTTGCCAACGAAGTCTCCGTTATTTGAAAAATGGCAACAACATCGTGTTGCATGGCACATCCACCCAGACCAGGGGATCTACAAATCCTGCTCAGAGAGCAGACCACCTCTGCTCCCAGGTACATCTATGCATAGAAAAACATCCTTCCTACACCTTCCCCCCAACACGTTAATTCTTTAAGCCTGCACCCGTACTTTATTGCTTGCCCCCCCCCTTATTCACAATGATGCAACTACTATCCAAGGAGATGTTCCATGTATCTTTATCCTGGTTCTTCATGTGTCTGGGGACTTTTGCCGGGACAGACACTTTGGGCAACGAGGTAGAACAGTTCCCACCAAGTGTCCACCAGTCTCTGCAAAGCTGGTCCCCAGTTTGCTGCAGGGGCTTCCATGGCAGGGGGGTTGCAGGGGAAGACAAGTATCAGAGTCCTGTTGTTCCTGCTAGGACCAAACTAACTCTCCTGTTCCCTTTGTGCAGCCCGAGTTGCCCGATGAACATCATCCAGTCACTTTTCTCCAGTAGTCCCCTGAAAACAGCAGTTAGCACATGAGCCTAACAGAGGCATGCCAGCCTTGCTCACAGCGGAGCAGTGCTGCCTTCAGGCCAAACCCAACAAGAAACGCATGTAACATCCGAGTCTATCAGGAACTCCTGCTCCCTCAACGCTTTGCCTTTATTCCCCACAAACAGAGGCTTCTCACACGCCCCTCAGCTCTACCTTGTTCCCCGACAGGGGGCCATTTCGTAGGATCTCCCCAGGAGAGGGTGGGGGGAGGAGCGGCCGCAGTGACCACGTTCACAGGGCTTCTCTTCTGCCCCAGGACATTTCCAGCATCCGCCATACCAGCGTACCACACCCCCACCCCAAGGGCGCC